TCGAACACAATCTAAGAGTGTATAAAATGTAAATAAGAACATATTCACAATAAAATAATAAAAATGTGTAATAAGGAGAAAGTGACAGAAATGAACTTGCATCTGTATTCATAATTCATGCAAACTAACTACATTTTCTTGGAAAAGAAAGACTGTCAAAATGGTATAAAATTTTAAATATGTACTTTTAATGAAAGCGACATACCTAACACATAAAGATCTAGATGTACTGAAGCTGAAGATTTAGGGGGAAAAAAGAGCTACCAACTCAATGCTAACCTACAAAACTCTTTTAGCTTTATCAGTGCCAGAGAAAACTATGTTTTGTTTTGTTTCTTTTTGGGTCACACCTAGCAATGCTCAGGGGTTGCTCTTGGCTCTGCCCTCAGGAATTACTCAGGGGACCATATGGGATGTTGGGATTTGAAACCCAGTCCGTCGCATGCAAGGCAAATGCCCTATCTGCTGTGCTATTGCTCCAGCCCTGAAAAACATGTTCTAAGGTACAAAGTATTACTAGTAGTAAACTGGATCAAATGCAGCATCTAAACCATATTGTAAATCATGATACCTCATAAAAGGTGGGGGGAAAACTAGGCAAAATAAAGCAAAAACAAAACCATATTCTGTAAAGTTGCCTATTTACCCATGTGGTAAAATAAAACACAGGAAAGATTATACAAAATTCAGTAGAGCAATGTCTTCTGGAAGGAAATATTTAGCTAGGAATAAGGGGACTTAGAGGTAGAAACGTTGTTTTTTTTTAAGTATACGGTTGTGGGATCTGGGACATTAAAGTGTTTTTATTCAAACTATATTTTATAATTACATTATTTTTAATGGCACATTACATAAAATATTTCTAATACAATATTATAGGGAAGTCACTAGAATTAAGGGAACATTTTAATGATATTTAGTTTTCATTATTATTGAAATATTTCATCTATTTTTAAGAATGAAAATGAATACAATATTGTTTAATGATTCATCTTGAGACCAGACAGACAGTACTGGGGTTAAGACACTTTCCTTGCATGTGGTCAACTCTGGTTCCATTCCCAGCAAAACATATGGTCCCCCTCAGCACTGCCAGGTGGGGTCCTCCCTCCTCTTATCCAATTGCTTGTATATATTCCTATCTCCCTGAAAGATGTTAATTTGCATTTATAATCAAACAGTGTTGTGATATAAAATCCCAGTGTGAATTAGATTTGGTACAATGAGCCCAAAAGTGTAACTAACATTTTGGTGATCCAGATGTCTTATTTCCCCCAGGAGAGTTCCTGACTTTGTTTTCCTGATAGAACTGTCATCAGCAACTTTCTTTCACTTTCAAAAGTGTCTCCTAGTTTAGATAAAAATTATATACTCATTTCTCTTAAAGCTAAATAAATTTAAAAAAATGAATAAATAATGCTGAATTAGGTATTCACCATCCATAGACTAGAGATCTCCACGATACCACAAATTTTCTTAGACTTATGGAACTGTTGTTAAAGAACTGTTGTTAAAGAACTGTTGTTAAAACTGTGCATTTCATTAGTTATTCATGTTAACAAATTATCAATGAATTAGAAAACACCATGTTGATACATGTTATATATTCAACTAGATTTTAAAGAAAGACATACTGTTTAAATGAAAATGTATAGAAAATAGAAGTATTTGTTTGAACTGTTTTTTTCTTTTATTTGCATATCTGTTAATTACATAAAGGCAGAAATGAGATGAGATCTTTCTAACACATGTCTTCTTGAAAATTCCTTACATTCACATCTATTAAATTTACACTAAAGAGACAGATTGTAAGGAAGAACTGTTTTGAACTTAAAATTGAACCAATTATCCCTTAGTACTTACAGCAATTACGGGAAGAGGATTGTTTAAAGCAAACAAACCCCTTCAGATTGCATCATTTTAAACGTTCAACATCTCTATTTCTTTCATTTAATGACACTTTTCAATCCTGAAGAAAATTGTAAGCTTGAAAAAAATCACATAGAAATCTATAATTAAGGCAACAGAACAACTAGAACTGATCTAAAAAAATTATGTAACCAAATAAGCTACACTTAAAAACCAACGCAATATGCAACAGAACCAAGAAATAAAACAGAGATGAGAAGTGTTGGATTGACATATGATGATGCACTAAACACAAGCATTCTGCCCTCCCTCCTAAATTCTATCTGATGATATGGAAGAATCTATAACTCCATCTATGTGTCTATATTTGTATTAATACCCTTCTCTACCTCTAGCTACCTCTATAGATGATCTTCATCTGTATCTAGTATCAATACAGACATATTAGCCATCTATAATTATGTCTGATGTGTATACGGACCTAATGTATACACATGACTAAAACAACAAACGCACTGGAAAATTTTAAATACGAGGTATTTTTATAGGACAGAAAGCAGATGTGATCAGACATCACATTGAATCAAATAGAGCAGAAACAAAAATGCTAAAAATTCTTCTATCAGAATACATTTGTAGCAGTAAGCCTGGCAAGCTACCCGTGATGTATTCAATATGCCAAACACAGTAACAAGAAGTCTCAAAATGGAGACGTTACTGGGCCCGCTCAAGCAAATCGATGAACAACGGGAGGACAGTGCTAATAAAAAAAAATGAACAGCTAAGACCACACAAAAACATTAGCTGAATTTATAATCTACATGTGGAGTTTCTTTTAAGCTGCTCAGATTCTACTGTAAACCACACTGTAAATCTGTTCTATTTGACATGTACAGAATTGCCACTACTTAATGGCTATGTCCAGTCCAAAAGTACTCACTACACTAACATATCTGCTGGATACACAATTCAACACCCCTCGTAGATGCCTGAAACTGCAGACAATATGAGATATACTGTTTTTTTTATCAACATATATAATAATGCTTATTTCATAAATCAAGTGCAGCAGAGTAAATAATGAAATATATCAACTACAATAAAAAGTACGTTAAGTGCTAAAAGTTAAGTTAATGTAAACCCCTCTCTCAAAATATCTTATTATAGTAATATTTTTATAGCTTAGTTAACCTTGAGTAATTGAAGCCATATAAAATACACTATAAATCACTGGATCCCATTGTACTCTGGGAAGAATCAAGGACTGTTCCACTTACTATTGTTTCTTTTCCTATCACCATTATTCCAAGACTTTTATCTGCTTTTGATCCCTAATTAAATACTGTAGCTTCATCAAATTAAAACCATATAGTGCTGCCCATTTATACCTTCCACCACAACCAAAACCAGATAGCATTTTCTGTATTTTATACCTGATCAATTATTCTAATAATTGCAATTATAATACTAAAATAATAATAATTAATAGATATTAATGCAAAACAAATGCTAAGTTGCTACCTCTAAGCTATTTGTCTAACCTCAAATTGTCCTTTTAATATTAACTTGTTTTATCTATTTATTTGAAGCTTTTTCTTTTGGACTAGATCAAGATATGCTTAAGAAACGTGCAAGACACACAGTCAGTATGCTTTTACCAAATTGATCAGGTTAATTACCATTTTCCCAACTAGGAAACATGGCGCTGGCTCCTTGCCTTGTCAATTAAATGCTTGTTTTTGCTCTCAGAATGTTTAAATTCTACCATGCCCAGTTACATTGGATACCTGTAGTATTTACATTTTTAAATAAACAAAATGAACATTAAAATTTTAGAATTAAATGTCATACATCAATGGGCACTGAAATTTGGGGCCTAAAATATTTTCAAAGGCTATTTTCAGGAATGGGAAATTGGCTAAAGACTTATAATGATAGTGCACTTCACCATTTATGGTGATTACAATGACATTTGGATTTCAGGCTTAAAGTCACATACTTTGCTGTCACTCACCTAGGGAAAGATCTGTAAATGTCACAGAAAAATACCATAACTTATATTATAAGGCTTGGATGATTTCTAAGGTAATATGACTGGCCAGTGGTAACATATATGTGTCATAAAACCTGGGAAAATGATATAGCTATAGACAGACATACAGTCTTTGTTGCACCATGTGTCTATTTTCTTTTTTCAAAAGAGGCAATAAAAGACTTTATCTCTTGATATTTAACAGTATTTTGAACCCCCAATTTAAAAGCATATGAAAAGTTTATTAAAATGAGAAGGAAAATGTTGAGAACCATTGGACGGACTGTTAAAAATTTACATCTGGATCTAGTTCACCTGACTCACATTACTTTCCAAACAAAATTAATTTTATTAATTTCTTATAATTAATAAATAACTCAGAAGGTTTAAAGAATCAATACATAGCAGGAAGAGCACCAACAATACTATATATACTAATAATACTGTGATCTTGAGTGTTCTACTTTAATGTGTAGTTCAGTTTCAGGTAATGTAATGAGGAATTTCAATCAGATATCAATCACATTTAATTCTCATACTAGCCTTCAGATGCATGTATAGTTGTATTGTTCATTTCATAGAGGCTTAGGAAATAAATGTCAGACCAATTTTGGTGTAGGTTATCTTATTTTAGAACCTGCACACAATTTTATGAACTCGTACTATGTCTCCTACTTCACAGAATATATTAATATATTTCATTTTCCCTTTTCCTTTTTCTTCTTTTTTGGTTTTGTGACCACAGCTGGAGATGCTCAGGACTTCCCTTGTTCTGTACTTAATGATTTTCCTGGCAGGTCTTAGGTGGCCATGTGGGGTGCCAGGGATTGAACTTGAGTGAGCTGTGTGCAAGGCTTTCACTCCAGACCTCCTTCCTCCCCACTCCCTTCTAATCTTCTCTCCTCCCTTCCCATCTGTTGCCACCATTCTTTTTCTTTGCTCACTACTCTTGTCCTTCCTTTTGCTACTAAGGTTTAAAATCAACAGAAACCAAAACATAACTACACAGTTAGGGTTAGATTACATATTGATACTTTCCTTCATTGACAGTAGTAATTGGAATGGGCAACGGGAAGGGAAAATTATTCCAACAACTTACAAGATCCAATGCAGCTGCCAAGATGGATGCATCAGGAATTGTCCCCGGTTCACAGCAATTTAACAGAAATTGAAAGCGCTTCATGCCTTGTCGAATTGCTCCAAGATTGACAACATTTTTGCTTTTTCCACCATCTTGGTTGGAAGATAGATGGTCATCAAAACTGTGGCAACCTGTAAAACATTTCCATGGTGGAGGAATAAAGGAGAAAAAGTGTCATGGATTATGTATTTTAAAAGAGCTACAGTTATACAATGCTTTTTCTTTAGTGTTGGTTAAAAACTTTCTGCCCAATTTCAATCCCTCCTCCTCCTATGTTTCAATTTAATATCTCCTGACATTTGGGAATCTGGTGACACATGGTACATGCAAATACGGGGTTTTACGTAAGTGTTCAAATATTGGGTCTGATCAGTTTGCTATCAGCTTTCCTCTCCAATACTGGTAAAAGCTCTTGGAACATTTATAACAGTTCTTCCTATCATCAACCACCAGACTGGTTTAATGGAGATGTAATCATTGTGTAATATGTGTTACATAAATTACTTACGACAGTATCTTGATAACTCAAGTTACAGTGCAAATAATCACTGACTACTGGAATTTTTGAAGACTTTAGATTCTGAATATTTGGAATTATTCAAATTATCCAAAGTAGCTGGGACATGTTTAATTTCATCTAAACTTTTAGAGCAAGAATCTCTAAAGGTGAAACTTTAAAATTTGTGCTTAAAGTCTCCAAGATAATAACAAAGAGACAAACTGACCCTATACTCTGGTCAGCAGTTTGGGATCCCATTAATCCATCACCCATTATTTCTTTATATAACTGACTACAAAAAGGATTTATTTTGGAAATTATTTAAATTGTTAGGACACATAACTAACAATTTAGAAAGCTTAAGCTTGTGGGTTCTGTAATAATTTCCAGATTAATTTCTTTTTGTAGTCAATTATATACATCAAATTCTATAATATTAATTTATAATGTTAATTATAATATGCATTATTATATTAATGTAGCAAATCTAAGGTTTGACATTAAGGGAGAATAATACAAAATATCAGTTAAAATTTATGATAGGTACACTTTATAAATGCAAATGTCATGTCATCTCTATTTATTTATTTGGTTTTGGGACCATGTCTGGCAGTACTCAGTGGTCAGTCCAAGAAATTGTTAAGTTCAGGGATCTAATCCAAGTCAACTGTTACAAGGCAAGCATTTTACCTGCTGTGCTATCTCTGGTCCAAAATGCTATGTCTTCTTCATAGTTTCCAGTGTGTTTTTAATTTTCTTAAAATAATATTTAATAATAAAGGCCCTCCCGTTGATCGTCGATTTGCTCGAGCGGGCCCAGTAACGTCTCCATTGGAGACTTTGTTGTTACTGTGTCTGGCATATCGAATACTCTTGGTAGCTTGCCGGGCTCTCAGAGAGGGGCGGAGGAATCGAACTCGGGTTGGCCATGTTGGCCGCGTGTAAGGCGAAACCCCTACCCGCTGTGCTATCGCTCCAGCCCAAAATAATAATAATAATAATAATAATAATAATAATAATAAAATAATATTTAAAATAATATTTAGATTGAATGTAATTTTCAAAACCTGACCACCCCCTTTTGAGATTCTGAGGGTTCCTACAATACCTAAGAATATAATCTGTAGTACAATAACTAAATTTGATTATGGCTTAATATGTGGAGTTTTGTATGTGGAGTTATGTGTCCTAACCCTCACTGAAAAGACACAAATCTGCCCTCAAAAAGGCTTTTTCATCTCTTTCTGGATTAATACCCTTGTTCCTAACATCTTTGCTGACTAATCACAGAGGTGGACTGTATACATCTGGCTCACAGTTGAGGTGTGCTGCACTTAAATGTGTCACAAATGGCAGCTATGGGCTATGCACTGACTAATTTGTCTTGCTCAAGAAGCATTAATATTTAACTATTTTGTGATTAAAAATAAATCCAGAGTTAGAGTTATCCTTAAAACAACTTATATTTGTGATAGTTATGAAATTCATTAGATATGTTTACAGTTACAAGCACCAGGGAGGATATTTACAGTTATCAGCCCAGATATACCTGGAGAATATGTCACACACAGCAATATCAACCACCATCTCCAATACCAAAAAAATAGGCACTTGGCCTTGTAGAGAACAAATCTTTAAGAATTAGTTAGCATAGAATGACTGTACTCATTCGTGTAGTATAAAGTAACATAATGGGAAAATAGCACCCAAGGATAGTGGAGATAAGGGTCAGAAGGATTGCTCCATAGCTTGAAAGCCAGCTTAACATGCTGGGGGGAAAGGCAGCTGGGATAGAGAAGGGACCACTAAGTAAATGATGCTTGGAAGGCTTGCTTAAGATGGGAGATGTGGGCTGAAAGTAGACAATGAACTGAACATACGGCCACTTAGTAACTGTATTGCAAACCATAACACCCAAAAGGAGAGAGAGTAAAAGGGAATGTGCCTGCCACAAAGGCAGGGGGAGGGATTGGATAGGGGTTGGTGGGAGGGATACTGGGAACATTGGTGGTGGAGAATGGGCACTGGTGGAGGGATGGGTACTCGATCATTGTATGACTGAAATGTAATGGCAAAAGATTGTAAGTCTGTAAACAATTTGAAAAAAAAAAAGAGTTAGGGGCTAGGATCCATTGGTATAAAAATAACTACCAATTCCTGATTCATAACCTACAATATGTGTCAAAATTCTTAGTATGCTAAGAATGTGTATGTAGGTGTTAAGAGACATTTGATTTTAAAACACATGAAAAAGATTGATGAAGCAAAAATCAATTTTTTAATGAGTGTTGTCAGTGACTTATGGATTTTTAAATATATTGACTAATTCTCTTCAATTTTCATCTATTTTTAAGTTTCATAAATGCAAACTGCTTCAGAATTTGGTTAAAATATTATTATAAAATTTCCTGTATTTTTTTCCTTAAGGATATGTTTCTTTCTCAGATACAAATATTCCATATTCAAATTTTCCATATTTAACACCTTCAGGGTTTTTTTCAGTTGCTGAAGCATATTTTGCATTAAATGCAAAAGGAAGAAGCACAAGAAGGATCTCATAATGGAAAAAATTATAAAGAGAAACTCTCAAATGGAATAAAGAAGCATGGCCAAAAGCTACAGATATTTCCTAGACAACCTTGGTTTTAGACAGCTGCCTTGCAAAATGCTGTTCTATTTATTCACTGAGTATTGACAAAGCTACCAAATACATAACTTCTTGTAATTTTTTTCTACTTGTTGTTTTATTAATACTGTCATTTAAAAGTTACATGCATCGGAGGAAATCATACCTTGAAAAAGTATGGCATTGGTTTCTTAAACTTTGAGTTTAATATAGGCCCTAAACTCAATAGCTCAATAAACTCAATTGACGTCATTATGAAACTTTCACACAGAGCTCCAAACAACAAAAATTAGTCAGAAACAACAAAATTGCTTAGGATAGGCCTAAAGGGAAGAAAGAGAGTAACACTCATCTGAGTCACTCAGAGCTCCAGTGGGGGCAGATCATGAAGTAGAAAGAGTCACAAGCTGCAACAGACACAATGGGGAAATAGCATAATGCCATACAAAGGTTACTGGGTCAAGATAGTAGCCAGGAAGACTAGACCAATACTAACCAGCTCATTAAATTCTTAGATAAAGGCTTTAGACTGTTGAGGATGGTTAATGAGCTCAGAGAAACAATGCTATGGAAATAAGAAAGCATGATATCAGAAATGAGATGACACAAAACTAAAAAGTTTTGTAGGTGAAATAAAGAACTCAATAGAAGCAGAGTAATATCAGCTGGGGATAAAAATCACTGTGCTTCAAACTGGAATGTAAAAACTCCTAGAAAACAGAAGAATATAAAAAAGAGTCTCAAAATAAATAAATAGTACATGAAGTTATTGTAGTATAAATCAATTTAAGACAAACAACCCAATCATCCTTGCAATCCCTGGAAAACAGGAAAGTGATTTCAATGAAGAATTATCAAAGAGGGGCTTGGCACAATAGCACAGCGGGTACAGCATTTGCCTTGCACGCGGCCAATGCAGGTTCAGTTCCCAGCATCCCATATGGTCCCCCAAGCACTGCCAGAAGTAATTCCTGAGTGCATGATCCAGGAGTAACCTCTGTGCAACGCTGGGTGTGACCCCCCTCCCCATATAAAACTTAAAAAAAAATCATCAAAGAAAAAAATTATGGTTGAAGAATTTCCAGAGTTGAGAAGTACATGCACCCAATTCAAGGGGCATGAAGGGTCCTAAACAAAAGAACACCTCCCCCCAAATAAATACTACAGACAACATAATCTGGGTTACAAAAGTCAAAACTATCATATTGAAAACAGGAAGATAAAAGAAAGAAAATACATACATAGACTTCTTTATGATGCATATTAAATTAGTCAAGTGAGAGTCTATAGGTTAGAAGACAATGGGAGAATGTAGTAAAAAAAAAATTTTAAATACTTGATCAGAAATAGTCTACCCAGCTAGACTATCATAGCTTCATGGATAAGAAATGTCTTAGAAACAGCAGCCTTCAAATCAATTTTGGGAAAGGCATTAAATGAGTTCATTTAAGACAAGGCAAACTGCAAAAAAAAAATGCAAAACCTACAAAATCATGGCAAAAAATTCCTTCATGTTAATATTGCTCAGTGACTTAAGCTCACTAATCAAGAGATAAAGAATGGAAGGATGGGAACTAGAGCAATAGTAATACAATGGACAGTGTATTTGCCTTGCACGTGATTGAACAGAGTTAAATCCTGGCATCCCATATAGTTTTCCCAGCTCTGTCAGGGAGATCCCTGAGAACAGAACTAGAAGTAGCCCAGAGCTCTGCTGGGTGTATCCTACAAACAAACAAACAAACAAACAAACAAACAGAGTGACTGGATGGATCAGTAAACTGAACCCAACTTTCTGCTGCCTACAAGAGACACATTTGAAGAGACAGAAAAATCACAGGCTCAAAGTCTAGAAAATATTTCAAGCAAACAATTCTCTTAAAATGGCAGGATGGTCATACTTATGTATGACAACATAAGCTTCAATTTTTAAAAAGGTTATAAGGGATAGAGAGGGTCATTTCTTAATGATCAATAGATGTAAAAGAGTCACACTTCTAAAACTCATCTTAAAGAATTAACACTCATAAATATTTGTGTACCTAATGAGGAACCATAAAGATATTTAAACAACTGCTAAGAGACCTAAAGGAAGATATTGATAGCAACACACAATACTTGGAGCCTTCAACACCACTTTGTCACCTTTGTATATTATATATATAGTGTTTACTTGTTGAGTTTTAGCCTAGTTGCCTAGTTGATATATACATATTATATATAATATATATATATATATATATATATATTTGGCTGGGACTGGTCAGTTATGTGCAAGGCAATCACCATACCATCTGCCCCAGCCCTGCAAATACCATCTTTGAGGAAGAAATCAAAAAGATGGGCATATATGTGTGTGTGTATGTGTATCCTTTCAAAGTCAAATACACATTCCTCTTCAGAGCATATGGTGCATTTACCAAGATAGATCACATGCTGGGTAACAAAACATTTCTATAAAATCAAGAAGAAATTGCATCACTATCCTCTCAGACCATGATGTGCAGGAAAAATGGAAGCTAATAACAAACAGAAATGGGGAAAAAAACTCAAACACTTAGAAATTTAGTAACTCGCTACTGACCAACCAGTGAATCAAAGAGGAAATCAAACGATTTCTGGAAACAAAGAAGAATAAAGACGTGTTATCAGAACATATGCATCACAACAAAAGTGGTGTTAAGGGGAAAGTTTATAGCAATACAAGCTCTGATTATGAAGAATAACAATATGTTAGGTGATGATAGCTTCAAATTTGTAATATAGCCAATATATAGACCAGGTAGAAGATTAATAAACTTGTTATGATTTTATCAATTTATTAATAATATTTGACAGTGTATGTAAATATGAATGACAAATATTTCATGCTATTTTCAATACTTATTTGATGACTATTTTATAATATTTAAAATAAATTTATTAAATATTACTTGAGAAACTACCATTTTTATTTTTATTTTTTTGGTGCAGTGCCTGAGATTGAACCCGCAGTGCCTGAGATTGAACCAATGGTCTTACACATGGAAGGCAGAAGACCCTGACCTCAATAAACAACATTTTTTATAGAAAGAACATCATATAACAATACAGTTGAAGAGTATAAATAAAGTAATCAAAACATTAGTAATCAACACAATCTTTGATAGCAAAAACTTACATTCTCTGCTTCACAGAATTATACATATTACAGGTAAGAAGACTGGCATAATCCTGTGAGCCCAGGCTGTAAGGATTACTTTACCAGCAAAGTAACATTTTTTTAGAAAGGAAAATTTCTATGAATCTATAGATCATACAGAATCATCACAATATAATATTCATTACCACTTCTGAGCATTTAGTATATACCAACAATATATGAGATGTTTCATAATGTATTTTTATATTCTTGCAATATATTTATAAAATGTATATTTAAAGGTGATAAAATTAAATGCATCAGAACAACTTGAGAGTGTATGAGATATAGACAAAGAGGAGAAGGAAGAGAAAGAGGAAAATTTGAAAGAGAATGATAAAATGAGAAGTGACAGATTAGTAGCTCAGTCTACTGGAAATAGAAATGCAATAAAATAATTGGATTCATACCCGGACTAATAATCATGTCTATGATCTTGTTTCTACTTTATATCACTCTGTAAAATACCTATAGCATTACGCTGAAAAAGTTTCCATTTTTATGATCTCTAGAGGTTGTAATTAGGAAAATAATAATAGTGAATAAGTCAATGTCTTACATGTTTCTTCTGTTGCTTATGTTAGTGAAATCAGTTGTCAAATACACCTTACTGCAATTCCCTTTAGTAATACCAAAGAAAAAACACTTTACCACATATTTGATATGATAATGTCTTTTTGTTGACATGATATATTATATTTAGTTTATTTGAATATAAATAATCCCCAAACATGTTCAGCAGTGATCCCTGAGCACAGCCTCAGTACTCAGCCCTGAGAAGTGCTGGATACGGTCATACCAAAATGTTTTACATCACTTATTATTAGGATAACATGGATCACAATAGCCAAAAGTGAATAATCAAACTAAATGTCCATCAATAGATGACTGGATAAAGAAGATATGGTATATATTATAAACAAGAGGATGTTATTCTGTATCAAAAAAAGTTAAATTGTACTTTTTGAGACAAAAACATATAGAACTTGAGATGATTATAAGTGTAAAGGAAGTGAAAAGCAATTACTGGATGACTTCACCAATATGTAGACTATGAATCAGTAAAGCAAGTGAATTGGGAAAATCAGTGAAACTAACTCCGAAACACAGTGAAAACCATGGTTATTGTTAAAGTAAATGAAGCAAGGGGAGTGGAATAAATGAATACTGTCCTTCTGGGTTTGGGATGGTATTGAAACTTTGATGGTGGGGGTGGTTATAACTACACAGAGGAAGCTATCTCTAAAATTCCATAATTGTAAAAGCTATCAAAGTTCATTAAGTCCATAAAAGGAAAAACAGAGCACAAACTGGACAGTATGTAAAACTGGCATTAGATATATAAGAGAGTGCGTGTGTCTGTGAGTCACTACAGATGTCATAATTCAGACCTATGAATTAAAGTTATAAGTGCATTTTTCAGAATATAAGACAGAACTTTTTTTTGGCTTATTGCGTCACACCTGGTGATGCTCAGGGGTTACTCCTGGCTTTGCACTTAGGAATTACTCCTGGCATTGCACAGGGGACCATATGGGATGCCAGGGATTGAAACCATGTAGGCTGCATGCAAGGCAAATGCCCTACCCACTGTATTATAGCTCCGACCCCAAGACAAGACTTTGAAACAATAAAAACTGCATTGTTCTGGAGCAGATTGCTCTGTAAAGTAATGAACTATCCCTTAGTGGAACTGCTTACCAGGTGACTGGCCATCTGTCAGGAATATAATATATAGAATTTCTAAGTAGCAAGGTGGGTGGATAAAAGGATCTACAGGTTCTTTAAAACTCTCAGATTGTGTAATAAAGGACAGCAGTAGAAGATGCTATTTCTTACACTTCTGTACAAACCCTGTGCCGACTAGGAAATGAAGGACATCTTAGGTTTCCATAAATTTCAGCTGAAGGAAGTTGATAACTAATAGAGAAGTATATATAGTAGTACAAAAAAGATAAGAAACAAGTGACAATCAATGGAAGAGAAAAATAAATTATTTCATCTACCAAATCTTTGTTTTGTGTGATGCACTCTGAAAACAATCTATTCTAGCAAACGTTTGATAGTCAAAGTTGGATTCCAAAATTGGATGTAGTACTTAGGCTGCAGAAATTTACCAAGTCGCTTAAAGAAATTTTCCTCATCATCTCTTCCATTTTCCATTCCACTTCCTGGTCCACCTTCTGAAAGCTTCACATTACTGGTGAATTTGACCTGCAGAAAAAAATGGAAAGTAAAGAATAAAATTCAAAAGCAATTCTTCGTGCTTACACTAATCCTTGCTTTGAAAAATAAGTTGCCCTTGGGCAATTACACTCAACATTTTCAAAGCAAACTAAAAAAATTCCTCATAAACTTTCAAATTTCTATTCAATTTATTTTTTAATAAAAATAACAAAGGAAGAATTACATCTTCTAAATGTCTTATAGTGTTGGTATTTTTTGTATAACTGCAAAATGACATTTTAAAACAGAAAAATTGGTTTTGGTTTTAATGAAACTTATATATCTACATATTAACACAACTCATATGCTAAAAATTACAGTGACTAGGCAATAAATCAATATGAAAGATTTATAAAGAACTTAGAATAATAAAATTTTCTAAATCTTATATTATTACAATGCTTAACAACATTATGGAAAAGCACTTCTAGGAAAAGTTGTCCTGACTTTTCTTTTTTATTCTTTTCAGAAGTAGAATGATACAGAAGATATAAAAAGTAAAGGAAGGAGGATAAATAATGTGGTTTAGGGATAGGTATAACAGAAATTTCTATGGAATTAATGAATATTCGATTTGGACATAGAGAAATCAGGAATTTTCATGTTTTAAAATTTGAAAGCCTCCCAAACAGTTTCTATGAAGCCCATATCTCCCTAATACCAAAAAGAAACAAAGACACCACAAAAAAAGAAAACTACACACCTATATCCCTGATTAACATGGATGCAAAGATTCTCAACAAAATACTAGCAAATAGAATTCAACAACTCATCAAAAAGATCATACACCGTGACCAAGTGGGATTCATACCGGGGATGCAAGGATGGTTTAACATTCGGAAATCAATCAACATAATTCATCATATCAACAAAAGAAAAGATAAAAATCATATGATCATATCAATAGATGCAGAGAAAGCATTTGACAAGATCCAGCACCCGTTTATGATGAAAATCCTCGCCAAATTGGGGATAGAGGGGACTTTCCTCAATATAGTTAAAGCCGTCTACCACAAGCCTACAGCAAGCATCATCCTCAATGGGGAAAAACTAAGAGCCTCAGAAAGAAAGGGATAGACATAGAAAGATTGCATTCATCTGGGGAACATAAAGTAACAAAACAGGAGACTAACACCCAAGAATGGCTGAGATTAGTACCAGGAATTTTACTCCATGGCTTGGAGGCCAACCACACATACCAGGGGAAAAGGGAGCTCAGATAAAGAAGGGAACACCAAATAAAGGTGTTGGGAGGATCCTCCCAGGATGGGAGAAGCATGCGGAAAGTAGACTATAGATTAAATTTGATTGTCACCCATTGCCTCTTTTGCAAACCACAACACCCAATAAGAGAGAGAGAACAAAAGGGAATGCCCTGCCACAGATGCAGGGTGAGATGGGGAGGATAGGGGGTGGGAGGGATACTGGGATCCGTGGTGGTGGGAAATGGGCACCGGTGGAGGGATGGGTATTTGATCATTGTATAATCGAAACCCAAGCACAAAAATGTGTAAGTCTGCAACTGTACCTCATGATGTCTCACTATTAAAAAAAGTTTAATAAAGAAACAAAACAAACAAACAAACAAACAAAAACTAAGAGCCTTCCCCTTAAGATCAGGGACAAGACAAGGATGTCCACTCTCTCCACTACTGTTTAATGTAGTAGTGGAAGTACTTGCAATAGCGATTAGGCAAGAAAAAGACATTAAGGGCATCCAAGTAGGAAAGGAAGAAATCAAGGTCTCACTATTCGCAGATGATATGATACTATACTTAGAGAACCCTAAAACCTCTACCAAGAAACTCCTAGAAAGAACAAGTCATGAAATTTACATACAAGTGGTACTACATGGAAAGTATCATGCTAAGCGAAATGAGTCAGAAAGAGAGGGATAGACATAGAAAGATCACATTCATCTGGGGAACATAAAGTAACAAAAGAGTAGACCAACACCCAAAAATAGCCGAGATAAATACCAGGACGTTTACTCCATGGCTTAGAGGCCAGCTTCACACTCTAGGGGTAAAGGCAGCCCAGATGTAGAAGGGAGCACCAAATGGGAGGTATTGGGAGGATCCCCCCCAGGATGGGAGAAGCATGCTGAAAGTAGACTCTAGACCAAACATGATTGCCACTCGATGCCTCTTTTGCAGGCCACAGCACCCAAAAGGAGAGAGAGACCAAAAGGGAATGCCCTGCCACAGAAGCAGGGTGGGATGTGGGGGATGGGGCTGGGTGGGAGGGATACTGGTATTAGTGGAGGTGGAGAATGGGCACTGGTGGAGGGATGGGCACTCGATCATTGTACAACGGAAACCCAAGCACAAAAATTTGTAAGTTTACAACTGTACCTCATGGTGTTTTACTAATAAAAAAATTTTTTGAAAGCAGTTTGGAAAAACACCTTTATAATGCTCAATATTGCAATATAATTTTATGTAGTATAATTTTATGTAAAATTGTTCTGATATAATTTTATGTGACATTACATGTGTTTAAAATTAAATTTATTTTCCTTTCTACAATTTTTTTCAGTGACTGACATCTTAGTTTCCATTGTTCATTTAAGTCTCTTAAATATTTTTAACTTGACTATCTCCTTCAACTCCTCCTTATTTGCCCTCTCCAGATGTTTATTAACATTTCTTCACCCTGACACTTTCCTATCAGCTACTCCAGTATTTTTTTACGTAAGTATTGTCCTGTTTACCTTGGAACTTTGCCTGATGAAGGACAGGCGGTCCACAGAGCTGATGTCCAGGAGGTCCTCCACGCCATCTGCCAGGCCCGAGAGGGAGGATCGTTTCAGCCAGCTTCCTATTTAATAATTTTTTAAAAAAATAGACCATTATAGCATTTTCTTCCAAATGAATTAAATAGAAATGTCAGCATGTGCCCAACAAGCAATGAAAATTACATGGTTTGATGTAAATAGATGTGAAAACAAATTGTGTTTTGGTGTGCATTCCTTTGAATGAAAGTGTTCAGAATTGATGCATAAAATTACATGACTCTGAATAGAAATATAATCCATCCAATCTCCATGGAAATAATTACATTTCCGAATAAGTGCTGTAGAATTGACCTCCTAAATCTTTCTCAAGTCTATTTCTCTCTGATTACATGGTTATAAGTCAGCTTTACCTACCATTACTTATGCCTCAACTACCAAGCAGTTTTCTATCTGGTCTGCCTTATTTACTCTTGTTCCCTTAATGTTTTCCATGTTAGAAAAAAATTATCTGCTTATGTTTTTAGCTTGCATCATGCTATTTAGAACTGCAGAAAGGAGACCCAGCTGACCTGTCATGCCCACATGTGCTGTTCTCCATCACTCTATCATAATCAAGCAACCACACTTCTCCCATCTCAATTCTTTGTTTCTTCCCTCCTAATATATTTGCACATTTCATTGCTACCCACTGGTGCGCTCTTCCTCCTCTTTCCCTTAGGTATTTTGTAGATCTCAGTGTCATTTCTGCTAGGAAGCCTTCCATGATGCCTGTTTCTTCCTTCATTTAGATTTGATCTCATTATTATTATTCTATTTTAACTACACTCAGTTGTTTAATTATCTGCTTTAGTGGCTACTACTTCTACTAAAATAGAAGTTCAGCATAGGCAAGTGCTGTGCAATATTTATCACCCTTTGTTCTCTGATGCTTATTAACATTGTGTTTGCATGTGGTAATGCACATCATAGGTGTTTGAGAAGGAACTGTTGAAAAAAAATGAATGAATGGATGAATGGAGTCAGCCTATGCCTTAAGACTTGAAAGCTTTCACTTTCTCTACCATGCATTGCTCTGTTTTTGATTGTGATTGATTGGAGGACATGGTCAGTAAAGAGAGTATCTATAAATAAAAACAAACATACTTTTACCTATGGGGAGTTTAAGTTTCTTCCGAAGGGAAATTCTACGGGATCGTGAGCGGGCACGCCGGTCAGAGGTGGTCCCTGAATGGGCAGTGGTGCATTCTGAAGTGTCCTGCTCAGATTGGCTGCTGGTATCACTTGCTGCACTCTGGGATTTGAACATTTTGCGCCAGAAATCTTTTCGCCCCAGGTTGCCTCCTTGCATCTGTTCATCACTGAAAGCAAGCAGTGGATGGGATTAAAAGTCTGACAACACATGGGAAATCTTTGTAAAGTTTTTCTACTTCCTGTCAATGACATTTAGGTAAATCATGCAGGATGGTCTTTGGTGGGCTGGGATTTGGCAAGAGTAGGAGTGAAAAGAGAAACAAAGGATTACTTCCTGAGCTCTTCATGGAAACAGTCATGTTTCAGCTGTCAAATGAAGCTGATAGCTTTTTTCAACCTTTTTATGAGCACTAAATATTATTGCAGGTATTATTATAGGACGTGAGTCATAGTAGCAAAAGCACTTAGCATGTCAGTAAATATTTAACTTATTTTTTCAAGCTTCCAGAGGCATTGTAGTACCTTATCCTGCCTCCCACCTCCACTGCAGCTTACGATAAATTATGGAACTAATATATTCAGAAAAAAATATTTGATTGATTAAATAAATAAAATGAAACAAACATTCTTAGGTAAGGTATTGTTTTATAATTGTTCACTTAACAATTATCGTAATATTGATTAGTTCTTCTAAATTCAAAGAAATATAAGGTAGGTTTAAAAGTGAAAAAAGAGACCAATTTAATAGGGAAAAATTGTATATCTCCATATGGATTCTTCAATAGATCATTCCACAAAAGGAAAAAGGCAAGAGGTCAATTACATAAAACATTTAATATACTGAGGAATAAAAATTTTTGAAAGTATTTGAAATGAGATCCCTATTTTCACTTATTAAGTTGACAAAAATTACAAAGTAAAATAAATGGTTACTTTCTCAACTATGATGAGATAGAATAATAAAATTTTTGAAAGTTAACTGATAAAATGTTTGTTATCTTAAATTTAATTTTCATCTCTGGCAAAGAAATTCAATTTAGAAACTCATCCTAAAAACAGAATAACAGACCAAATATAGTAGATATATATGGCCGACCTGAGTTCGATTCCTCTGCCACTCTTGGAGAGCCCAGCAAGCTACCAAGAGTATCGAGCCCGCACGGCAGAGCCTGGCAAGCTACCTATGATGTATTCAATATGCCAAACACAGTAACAACAAGTCTCACGAAGGAGACGTTACTGGGCCCGCTCGAGCAAAATCGAGAACAACGGGAGGACCACCATGACCAAGAATGTCAAATGCTCACTGAAGTATGTTGGATAAACATGAAAATTTAAAAGCAATTTAATTGATACACCCCAGGGAAGAAGTTGAATGAAGATAGGACACTCAATCTAGGGCATACTCTGCAGTTGCTAAAATGTTGTTTTATGAGATTATTGATGTTAGATATATTTGTGATATATTGCAAAGTTATAAGAAAGTAATTGGATGATTTAGATGGGGTAACAGCTAATTTTTTAAAGGTTCATGTGTGAGCATGTTGGTGTGTTTAGTCGCACACATGTTCAAAAATGCTTCCACTGTAGTATGTAAAAACTTCCAGTTCTCAAAACCTTAGTGCCCGAGAACAGATGACTGGTTAAAGAAACTTTGGTACATTTACACAATGGAGTACTATGTAGCTGTTAGAAAAGATGAAGTCATGAAATTTACATACAAGTGGTACTACATGGAAAGTATCATGTTAAGCAAAATGACTCAGAAAGAAAGGAATAGACATTCATCTGGGGAACATAAAGTAACAAAATAGGAAACTAACACCCAAGAATGGCCGAGATTAGTATCAGGAATTTTACTCCATGGCTTGGAGGCCAACCACACATACCAGGGGAAAAGGGAGCTCAGATAAAGAGGAGAACACCAAATAAAGGTGTTGGGAGGATCCTCCCAGGATAGGAGAAGCATGCTGAAAGTAGACTACAGACCAAACATGAATACCACTCAATGTCTCTTTTGCAAACCACAACACCCAAAAGGAGAGAGAGAAGAGAGGGGAATGCCCTGCCACAGAGACAGGGTGGGATGGGGAGGATGGGGGGTGGGAGGGATACTGGGATCCATGGTGGTGGGAAATGCGCACTGGTGGAGGGATGGGTGTTTGATCATTGTGTAATTGAAACCCAAGCACAAAAATGTGTAAGTCTGCAACTGTACCTCATGATGTCTCACTATTAAAAAAATTTAATAAAAAAAACTAGAAATTGAGCTGTCATATGACCCCACAATACCACTTCTGGGAATATATCCCAAGGAAGCAAAAAAGCACAGTAGAAATGACATCTGTACCTATATGTTCATTGCAGCACTGTTCACAATAGCCAAAATCTGGAAACAACCCAAGTGCCCTAGAACAGATGACTGGCTAAAGAAACTTTGGTACATCTACACAATGGAATGCTATGTAGCTGTCAGGAGAGATGAAGTCATGAACTTTGCTTATAAATGGGCAGACATGGAGAGTATCATGCTAAGTGAAACGAGTCAGAAAGAGAGGGACAGACATAGAAGAACTGCACTCATTTGTGGAGTATAAAACAACAGAACATGAGGCTGACTCCAAAGAATAGTAGATACACAGAACAGATAGATTGCTCCATAGCTGGAAGCCTACCTCATGAGCAAAGGAGAGAAGCAGCTGGAATAAAGAAGGGATCACTAAGAAAAAGATGGCTGGAGGAACCGGTCGAGATGGGAGATGTGTGTAGAAAGTAGATAAAGGACCAAACATGATAACCTCTCAGGGTCTGTATTGCAAACTGTAATACCCAACAGTAGAGAGAGATTATGGGGAATCATATCTGCCATTTAGGCAGAGGGAGGGTGGATAAGGGGAGTTATACCGGAGATATGGTGGTGGGGAATGTGTACTAGTGGATGGATGGGTGTTTGATGATTGTGTGATTGTAACCCAAACATGAAAGCTTGTAACTATCTCATGGTGATTCAATAAAATTAATAAGAAAAAAATACTTTCCAGTTCTCATTTCTAGTTAATGCTATTTTAGATTTTTTGTTTATTTGTTTTGTTTTTGGATGACACTCAGACATGCTCAGGGGTTACTTCCAGCTCTGCACTCAGGAATCACTCCTGACAATGTTCGGGGGATCATAAGGCATGCTGGGGATTGGATCTGCGTCAGCTTCTTATCCATTGCACTATCACTCTGGCCCCTAATGCTGCTTTAGTTTTAAAACTAATTTTCTTCCTTATGCTTTTCTGTGTTTTCCATATTCATCTACTTGAGCAGCATTTATTATTTTAGTAATTGGTAGAGAAAAGATTCTAGAAAATGTCTATTAACATGATGAAATTTGTGGGAGTTTTGCATATTAATTTACTCAAAAATTTTGGGGGAGAATCAGAAAATTCTACAGTACTGTATAAAAATTTGTGGAGATATTTTATCCCTCAAAATATTATGAGTGCTAGATACTTTTTATTCTTATTTTAAAGCACCCTGTTCCATTAATTAAACACAACATAGATTAAATTTGTGATTTAGAATTTTACTTCTCAATTACTTTTATCAATTGTCTGCAGTGAATGAAGCCTTTCTTACTTTGGGAGAATATCAGTACAATAATGGGTATATGGCTACTTGATCTAAGTAGGAAAATATCCAACGAGGCGTTTATTAATATGCCAGCTATATCAATAAGATGTTATAGTTGCTTTGTTCAATGAGTACAGTTGATTTCTATCAATGAATATCAGAGAAGCTTGTATATAAAATTTATTTTAGTATGATATAGTTACTGTGACTTTTATCTAAGCAGGAGAAAGGCAGGAATAGAAGGGGAGAGGAAGAAAGAAAAAGAAGAAAAAGGAAAACCTGGGACTATCCACCCACCTTTTATCAGAGTTTAAAAAGAGACACTGGCATACTCCTCTCCTTTAATCAGTGAGGACTTCCATATCTTACATTCTATTACACTGCTCCAAGAAAAAGTACTTACATAAAAACATGTTAAAACTATGTAACTTCAGATTCAAGGGGAAAGAACAGACACATGCTAAATGCGGAGAAATCAAGTGGTTTGCAGATTTTTTAAAAATTTAACTTGCTAGATTAGCTTGACAACAACTGAAGTTATTTTTGGGGAATAAGTTTTCTCCTGATTTGGGACAAACTTAGTGTGTGAAAACCTCTTAACTGGTCTTGTGGATATGTAGCAACAGAAATTTGCCATTCATATTAATTTTTTAAACTTAGTTTTGGATTTTTGTTATATCCCTAAAAATGTTCCTATGGGAAAAGTTAGAATTAGGTTTTGAGAAAGCAGCCTTTATTGAACACATTAGCCAGCCTGAAATTTAAAAGTTTTAAGTAATTTAAAGCAATGATGTAGATGGCACTCCACCTTGTATAAAAACACCTGTTATTTTTTGAGATTTATCTGCAGGAATGTGCCTAAGAGGCAAAAAATGAGGAATAGACTGGGAAATGCATTAAAAGAGACATCCTATACAGTCAACGTTGGATATTTGTGATTTGGATTTGTAAAGATTAGCAGCATTGGCATGGGGAAAATAAAGGACAGAAGAAAGGCAAAAGTCAAAGGAAATGATAAAAAATTGTTTACAAAACGCAATTTATTTTAGTGTAAAGTACTCATCTCACTGCATTGAAGACAAACCAATGCTACTACTTACTGTTCTGGAGTCTGTGATGGGCGACCGGACATGAAGCTGCGACATTCCTCAGGCGCAGAAGACATCTGGCCTTTGTCCATAATGCTTCCTGCCTCTGACCTATGCAAATGGTGCATGCCACCAATCATAACATAGTCAGATACCACCTCTCAACTCTTCTTATAGTTCATAAAGCAAAACCCTCTCTCATAGATCAGCTATGTACAGACCCTAAGTCATTAACAGTCTGTGTAGTATGGGATTCATATGCTTTTGTTTGATGCATAATCTAGGTATCTTATTGTCCCAAAATACAACTTTCATTCCAAACAAGGTCATTAACTGCAAGCAGGGTTTAAAACTTAGAAATTTCTTTTCATTTTCATGAGTGGCATTTCTTTTAGACTAGGCAAATTTATGTTTGCTAAAAGAAAAACAACAAGGTGTATTCCTCAGTAATGTGTCCTTTGACATGCATAAAATATCACTACATTGGATAAATTAAAGTAATTGTGATTCCCCAGGAGAATTACTCCATAGCTTAGAGGCCAGTCGGGTATTCTAGGGGAAAGGACAATTCAGATAGAAAAGGGAACACCAAATGGAGGGTGTTTGGAGGATCCTCCCAGGAGGGGAGATGCAGGTTGAAAGTAGACTGGACTGAACATGTTTGCCACTCAATGCCTCTTTTGCTGATCACAACACCCAAAAGGAGAGAGAGAACAAAAGGGAATGCCCTGCCACAGTGGCAGGGGGGGATGGGGGGATGGGGGGGAGGGATATTATCCTGGTGGTGGAAAATGGGCACTGGTGGAGGGATGGGTATTTGATCGTGGTATGACCGAGATCCAGGCACAAAGATTTGTAAATCTACAACTGTACCTCATGGTGTTTCACTAATAATAAAAAAATTAAAAAAAGTAATTGTGATTCCTCTGGATAAAAACATATATTATTTATAGCAAAGATCAAAACACTGATAACAGTTTACCATATAATTAAGAATTATGAAGTGAAGTTCAACTGTATAAAAGTTGATCAACTGAATTCTGATTCACAGAGTTGTGGATTATTTAACAGTAATTCTATTCCACTGCTAAGTTTTTAGATAGACCATCAATAGTGATACCACTTATACAAGGTTGTGCCACCATAACTTGCACTTGCTTTTAAAGTCATATCAAGAACCAAATGCTCTGCATTTCCTATAATACAAAGACTGTGCTGTACAGAAATAAGGTGAAGTGCTAAGAGTTATAGACCTCAAGCTTCCAACCTTTTACTGCCTACAGGCTTGGATTCTTGCTCATTCTCCTCAATCTTTTTCCCTGGTGCCAACTTTTCAGCACTGTCAAGCAAAGCACTGAGGGCTACTCTCCTGAAGACATTTCCATGAGCCTCTTTGATAAACTGGACAAGTTGACGAATGTCACAATAAAGTCCCTGTTAGGAGGCAAGAAGGACATTTGGGGGAAAGAAAAAATAGTTTTGTGATAAAATAGTTTATAAGAAGAGAAGAAGGTGACTTCTTACATATGGAGCAGAACTGGATCCTAAAGAGAAGATAATTTACTCTCATGAAACTAATGGTATCTCTTGATTGTTTCCATAATAACATTACCAAGAACTTTGTCATTTCTACTATGAAAAAAATGGTAACCATGCTTCATATTGAGAGAGTTGACTGTATAATTAGAAAGACATTATATTTATAACATCTGCATTCTCAATTTTCAATGATCTCTCTTAATTGTGACTTCTGGAGAGAGAATTGCAAAGAAATAATAATTACAATTTTGTTTTGACTACTAGATATTTCAGTTTTTGCTTAGCTTTTTTCAATTTTCTGCATTGCTCTGAAAAATTAGATAAGTTCTAGAGACAATTCTAACAGTGCTTATATTGGGATATAAAGGATGATATATTTTCTTATGAAGATTTATCAATTAATTTTATCTTGAAGTCAATTGGAAAATGAACTTGACCATAACTAAAGATTATACATACCTTTTAAAACCAACATATTGGTGAATCAACATTTTAAAATATATGTAGGACTCGTTTTTTAATCTATTAAGGACTGTACCCAGAATCCACCCCTTCCACTTCTCTTTTCCAAATTTAGGAGAGAATTACTATATTCTTTGACCTAGGAGAGTTTCATGGCAAAGAAGAACATAGAAAATAAAAACCTACTAAGTTTTAAATAAAGTGTGCAGAGAGTGCCCTTTATGATCTGTAGGCAACAAGGCCCTGTATATTTTCACTCTTTGACCTCTCCTCTGTGAAAAGGATTAGGCAGCTAAGAAACAGGGTTCCACTCTCAACAGAGTGCCAGCTATAGGCACACTATGAAAATCAGTAATTGACAGAGAAGGCTTGGATATATAACAGACCTATAGAGTCTTCCTAAGCCCCAGGGTCTGTGGAAGTCTTAAAGATCTTTCTATTACTCTGGGAAGAGGGGAAACTCAAGAGAAAATGAGGCTGCATTGACATTCTATTGAAACAGTGGTTTTAAGTCAAACTTAATGTGGAAAAAAGAAAATGAAGAGACTTATTTTTTCTACCCATGTCTTTGTATATGTAATCACTTGCAATCAACTTTTTAAGTTTCTTCTTTCTCTGAGCAAGTTTAATACATATGTGGTACCTCAGCTACAAGAAACTTTCAGCTACAAAAACTTTTTTTTTTGTAGACTATGACAGTTAATAAAATAAAATATCCTTGGGGGTGAATTTATTTTTTATATCAAGTTGAATTCATATTTTTAATGATTTAAAATACTCTGAAGGGATTAAAGAGATAGCTCAGGGTTATGGAATATATGTCTTGCACTCACAAGTTTTTTTTTTTTTTTTTTTTTTTTTTTTTTTTTATTTTTTTTTTTTTATTTTTTTCCCCTTTATTTTATTTTATTTTTTTTTTAAAGTTGTAGCACTCACAAGTTTTTAATCTTGATCTTAGTCTCAAACATCAAGCAAGCATCAGATCAAGTATCACTGGGAATAGAGGACCACTGTCAAAACCAATAAAAAATAAAATACCTTAAAATAATTTTCTTGATTTAGGTAAATTAGAAGAGACTGTCTATATGTCTAACTGGGCTGATATCTATATATGAATCATTACCTAATAGATTGATAAAAACTGCTTCATGACTTTCCAGGTAAAATTAAATTCATCTACTCATTTAAGATTCATCAGCCTCAAAATATTTTTTTAATTTCAAACCACAATCACTTTGGTAACGATTTAGTTATCAACTAACCTCTTATAGTGAAGTTCTTACTGTTTTGGGCTCCAGTGGTCTAATTAACAGTCTTTAATGAAGCGTAGATAAAATATAACAGTTCTCAACAGAAAAAAAAAAGTTTCACCCATCCTGGGAGGATCCTCCCAACACCCTTTATTTGGTTCTCCTTTCTCTCTCTGAGCTCCCTTTTCCCCTAGAATGTGTGGCTGGGTGGAGGGATGAGTATTGGATCATTGTATAACTGAAACTCAAGCACAAAAATTTGTAAGTCTACAGCTGTACCTCATGGTGTTTCACTAATTAAAAAAAAAGTCTTGTAGCACATTTTCATTAATTTTTAAAATAAGAGTAGTTTCAGAAATATTTTAACATTCTTTTATAATTCATAAGCCAATACATACTCTAGAAACTTCTTTTCAAAAGGCTCAGAGTAGCTATGTAACTAACTTCCACAAAGCCTCTGAGATGGAAGATGAAGACAAGTTACTGGTAACACTGGGAAAACAGTATAGCAATGAGAAAATACAGACTTCCTGATCTTATGATCACAAGAAGAGCAATATTCTCAGAGCAGAGCAATAAATCCTATAAGGAGAAGAGGTGAATTTCTCACCAGATTCTCAGGGCTGTGCAATTCATGTGTGGTCGAAGCGCAGCGTGTGATGAGAGATTTAAACATGGCACTGACGATAATGCCTTCCACATTTTGGGCTGTGGATTTGTTGTCCACGGTAGTGAAGTTATTTCCAAACCCAGCCTTGTCTGGAATACAAAGGCACCAATCAAAAGCAATGTTTCTATTAAGTTACACAGTTTAGAGAAATAATGACAGACTTAGCACCCAGGAATTTTGGAGGACCACACACAACACAAAAGACAGAGAATGCAAATTACCCTTGGTTTGATCGTCACAGTGCACATCAGCAGATAAATGACTCATCTTTATCCTGATGAATCCCATCCAATTTGTGGAATATTTCAACTAATACATTATTATTTCACAATGGAATTAACTATTGATGCTAAAGAAGGGTTTTTAAACCTATTTTTCAAAATTGGTAATTACTAAAAGGATGTACTAACAATATACTAACTGGTCCCCCCAGTGAAGAAAATTTAACTTGATTCACTTTTCTTGGTGGTGAAAAATGGTGGCTGCTTTTCCAGTGGAAATTGTTTAATCACTCGTAAGTGAGAGAGGTATAGCTAATCAAGTGAACTATGCAATCAGAGGGGCAAGTGGAGGACTGATGGGCAATTTTACTCTTTGCTCTTCACAGACACTGATGCAAAAGGAGACTGCAATTGCTTAGAGCTTCCCAGGTGTTCATCCAGTAATTTTATGCTGGCAGAGTCCTTTTAAGTTTATAAGAGAGTAAAAGCCTTTCTCAAAGTTGCTTCGTAATTCACCCACATGTGATATACTGTTTAACCGATCCTATCATTTCTGGGACTTTTCATGGTAGTTGTGGAATTTTCTTGGCCTGTACATGAGTTATTCCATGGCCCTGCCAATGGATTCCTCATGTTTATGAACTACCGCTGAACTGTTGCAGCTTAGAGACTGAGCAGATAGGGACATCAAGGTCTGGCTCATTGTCAGATGCCACTCAGTTCTCAAGAAAAAAAGGATGAATTTGCATTTTAAAGCAATGCACATAATGTCAACCATTCACTCCTTTGTCAGTGGACAGAAAATTATCTGTTTTTTAATAATAGGAAGACTTTAATTTATGCTTATTGCATCCATTGCACATGATTTGAAAAAAGAAAAAGAGAAGTTTATAATAACACATATCTTTTGCACTATCTCAACTGTAATTCTCACCTTATTTTTAAATTTTCAATATGCTGGCTCAAAAGAATAATGATAAAAGATTATTTCAGATGGTCTCTAAAAGACCTGTGTTTTCTTTTAATGTAATAACCAAATAACAAAGCCTGAGGTACAAATAGAAAAATTGCTTCTAAATTTACCCAATATATTTGCATTCTAATTTTATCAACTGCATAAATAAAACTGCATTTTATTGTTTGCATAAATGAGTTATGCAAATAATAAAAATCTATACTAAAAAATTAGTTTTCCACCAGGTCTAATTAAAATTTTGTTTTCAATTATTCAGAGTTCATGCATCACTTTGATTTTATGACTGCGTGGCATTCAAAAGAAGGTGTGCAGTGTATTATCAATGCAGTTGGTGTCCACTGGCTCCTCTCTATGTAACACAGGCCTCAATGCAATGATAATCTTTTCTTAAAGCCATGATATTTAACTTCATGGAATAGTTTGTAGAACTAAACACAGATCCATTTGCCTACTTTTTCCTAATTCAGCATATGTGCATAGATATATGTGCATAACAAAATAGCGTTATGACTATGTTTACTCGTTACATATTGTTTTCTTCCCTGTGGAAAAAAAAATCACTGAACACAATGATATAAGGATGCCACCAATTCATTAAAATCCTATCTATTGGTATTAGTTAACTAAAAGAAATCCACAATGTGACATCAAAATATTATGTGCAAACTAATTCTTACTCTGATACACATATAGACATAAAGACAGAGAAAGAGGAGAGAGAGAGAGAGAGAGAGAGACAGAGAGAGAGAGAGAGCAAGAGAGAGAGAGAGAGAGAGGAGGGGGGGTATATTTGCCTTTCAATACTACCTCACAAATTTAATGTGTCTCTGAAACTCTACCTGTTTTTCTACATGGCGTTTCTCCTAGAAGTCCATGTAGCTTTACTTACTGTCAGTGACTGGTTCCATACAAAATCCTAGCAAAGCATGCAAGAAGTCCACTACATTATTTAAAGAGTCCTTGTTCACATAGTCTCTCATGGTTTGTCGGAACTGCATCTTATCTAGCTTGTATAGCTTAGTAAGGCAGTTCTGGGCCTGCAATAAAGGAAGAAAAGTGAAAAAGTCACAGGTACCAGCGTATGCTAAGGATACCATCATTTAAGACCAAAGCCTCCCGAAGCCAAAGCTTCTGTTTATCCCTGCTGACTGGTGCCAGGACCCTGTAAATTACTCTCTTCTAAGTAGTGAACAGAGAGATGTTGAGAGTATGAGGGGCTTAATATCTGAAGGGTTGATTGGCAGGGAAAACCCAAGGCTAAAGTCTAGTGCTGACCTCAGAAGAGGTTCAGTATTTTCACTAAGATCAAGATTTTAATATCTCAGCAAGAAAGCTCAATGTATAAAATATAAGTAGGTGATAGGATTGGTAATCCAGGTTTACGAAAAACCTCAAAGGCTTTGTGCAATGGAAAGATACATAATAGCTCAGCTTTAATTTGAATAGATTTAATACAGAGAATAAGGGGGAGGGGTATAGGCAGTGGGTATCAAGTGTGTTTCTTATATGGTCAGAAGGAAAAGATGATTGAAACAAAGAAGAGGCATAAAATAAGGGCCAGTTCATTTTGTTTACTTATGTATTCATATTTAAATAGAGGTTGACCTTATGAAAGAATGAAAAACACTAGACTGCTTTTCATTTGAGCTAGCAAATAATTTTGCCCTCTGGCAAGGGGAAAGAGAACAATTCCCATCAGCAGAACAAATAGAGTCACTAACCACTGGCTACTGAAGGTCACAGAGTGAATGAACTGAAAGACCCTAAGAATGACAGGGGACCTCCTAACTCTCTCACATCATGGAAGTAGAAATTACATTCTATAGTATTTTTCTGTTTGGGCTGGAGAGATAGCCCAGCGGGTAGGGTGTTTGCCTTGCACGTGGCTGACCAGGCCGACCCGAGTTCGTTTCCTCCACCCCTCTCAGAGAGCCTGGCAAGCTAGCGAGAGTACCTCGCCCACACAGCAAAGCCTGAAAAGCTCCCCATGACGTATTCGATATGCCAAACACAGTAACAAGAAGTCTCACAATGTTACTGGGCCCACTCGAACAAATCAATGAGCAATGGGAGGACAGTGACAATGACAGTGACAGTGATTTTTTCTGTTTAAGACATGATTTTGTATATAATAGGCATCACAGCATTTACATCCCCTCTAGTTTTAATAAATATCTCTATGTGACAGTGTTGGAAATTGTTGTCATTTGTCCAAATTAATAAAGCTTCATAGCAGTGCAAAAATTAAAAATATTTTCTGTCTACCTTAGTTATTTCTATTATGATATGGTCAACTCATTCATAGTTCAGATAATGACCTTTTAGAGAATATGTGTCAATTTCACCCAAATCCAAAGAGGATTTAAGATGACTCATAGCAGACATTAGCTGGTATTTTGAAGAAGCCAAATTCAGCAAATAAATGAGATTATAAGAAATTCCACAACAATGCAATGGCATGGGGAAAATGAAAGATGCCTCTGGGTTTAAAAAAAAAAAGGGCTAAAGGACCAAAATGAGTATATATAAGCATGAAAGTCACTTTAGGGAAGGTCAGTCTGAGATTTAACTGGTACTTTAATAGTTACTTAAAAAGAAAATTTAAGTTACATCACTATTCTAACAAATCAAGAGATTTGGTAATCAATATTATCAGACAAATTAAAAGAATAAAGGAATATTATAAGAGGTTGAAATTTGAAGTAGTAATAGGATTCCTGGTGTAATCTAATCATAATTTCTCCATCTATATCACAAAGTTAGATGAAAATTTTTTTTTATTCTATCATTTTTTGGTCTTAGAAGAATGGAAATAAGGTCATTTTTTTTATTCTAGAGGAGTAATTTCTTGCTAGACCTCAAGAAAGACCTTTTATTCCATTCTCTTACAAAGTTTTTCTATAATAAACTTACGTAATTTTTTTGTGAAGCTGTATTTAATTATCATTTTATAAGAAATTTGTGAAGGTATTCATTAAAATATTTACAAAGTATGATAAAATCTTGGTTGGAAGTTCTGAGATACAGATTATCTTATCTTTTTTGTAAAATATACCAAGGACACAATTTTAAATCAATAGGCTATTGGAATTTCTGTTGGAGTTCAACGAAAGTACTTGGATTAATCTCATTGTAATAATCTATTTCCTTTTTTAAAAAGTATAGGGGACTTGATTGAATTGGAGAAATATTATCATGTTAAAAGCTAAATAATTTTTAAAACCCAATGCTTTAAAAATACTGAAATATATATCTCCTTGATTTAGATATTCTCAGGAAAAAGTTCTCAAATGTGTATTTATTGGCAATGTTTATTATTAAGCATGGACAAGCAAACATAAATTCTTATTAATGACTACAAAACTGAAATACAAGATAACAGAAGGGTTTCTTATAAGTCAACAAAGATGAGAAGGCAGGTGGAAAATCACCTTGACAACCTGAAAGGAATTGTTCAGGACTTCTAGCAAGGAAAACATGAGCAGTAACCTTTCAAGTTACTTCTGATATAATTAGTCTTACTTTCTACAAGACTAGAAAGACAGATCCAAGATAGCTCATGCCTCTCACTGATGTATGGATGTATGATACCTGTAATATTTTGCCTTTTTAATATGAACTTTTTTTGATGTGAGAACAATATAATTTTAAGCTAAAAGGCATTGATTTATACAGTGATAGAATTAAAATTTAAAGATTAAAAAGTGATATACTCATGCACAGTGATGCTACATCAACTTTCTCTCAGCTTATATAATATAAATTTAAAAAGTTTTGGCCTCAAAATATAGAACTTGGACAATAGTTTCAAGTATATGAATTTAGAAATTGTAGGCACTGGGCTAAAGAGATCCTATAAATAGTAGTGGATGAGATTGGCACTTTGGTGGTTGGCATGATGTATTGTTGAAACATTTATTTTCGGTAAGTCATGGCTAACTCAATTAAAAATTATTTAGAAATTAATTACTGTGACTAGACTCCTTTATGTACCACATACATATAATTAATAAATACAATATAATAAAATATAAAAAGAAAAATGACAGATAAGTAGATGGTAGATTCAAAAAGAAACCCAGCATGCAAATACTGTGTGAACATTTCACACAAAACCTAATACCAAGGAAAAGTGGACTGGCATTAGATTTTGTCATGATCCTAAAAACTCTGCTAAAATATGGCAAAGGGTATCCAAGACTTAAAATTGCACAGAACTGTCATATTAAGAGAGTATTTTCTTACAGTTTCAATTGCAAAGTACATAAGAGGCAGTTGACCCAGTTCATACTTGTGGATGTGGAGTATTGCCTAGGTGAGAAGGAAAAAGTAACAATTCACAAAGGCAAATGAGAATGATCTGGAATAAGATCATGTTCCGTTACAGAATTATGCTTTGCAAGCCCAAGCGCAGAGTTTAAAGTTTCACACAGTTCAAAGGGACATGATCTAAAATTTTTGAAGGCAAATGTTTCATTTTCAAAGTAGCCAGAAAAATGACTGTCTACTTTTATAGTCCTTTATTATACCAATAAGGGCCACGTTCCATATCTAAGTAAAATAAACAGAACACTAAACTTTGACCCCATTCTCGATATAAAACACGCTTCTATAGTACCCAGGCAGGTAATTAAAAAGCTATTTGTCACAGACCATTCGAAGCTTGCTAAATGTATTTATCTTTGCAAAATTCTTTCAAACTATAATTCACATATTCCAATTACACACTCTTCCACCAAGTGGGAGTTGGCCTGCCCTAGGCAGGAGGTATTGAAAAGTGTTCTCCCAATTAAACTAATCCTGGGATTTAGATGTCTTGTGATACCCGTGGGAATACTCCCACTCCAAGACAGCATTCATTATCCATATGACATGTAATATTTTTCAGGGAACACTGACCCTCATTGTCAAAGGACTCATTCCTATATTGGAGGAAGGGAAGAGGGAGAGGAAATGGAATCTACTTTAATTCTCTTACATTCTCTCGGAATACCTGGTGTCTCAGACGATCTCCAGAGAGCCCCCGGTGTCCTTCTCCACAACCATAGGCACATCCCAAAGACTTTACTATTTTAATGAGCATGGTTAAAGCAAGCCTATGGTTGCTTACAGGCGTACTTTCATCCTAGTATCCATGAACAAAAAAGACAAACTTTTGTTTACTTCCTAAATTTGACTTTATTTACTAAGATTCTATTTATGATCAAACCAAACGTTTGTTTTGCAACAAACACCTGCAATTTGGTAAATAAAACTATCAAGAATTCAACATGCAGTTAACTTATCTAAAACCTAGACAACAGCTAAATAAAAAGATGTTATTTATTTATTTATTAGTGAAACACAATGAGGTACAGTTGTAGACTTACAAATTTTTGTGCTTGGGTTTCAGTTATACAATGATCAAGTACCTATCTCTCCACCAGTGCCCATTCTCCATCACCAATGATCCCAGTATCCCTTCCCCCCATCCCCCCTTACCCCACCCCACCTCTGTGACGGGGCATTCCCTTTTGTTCTTTCTCTCCTTTTGAGTGTTGTGGTTTGCAAAAGAGGTATTGAGTGGCAATCATGTTAGGTCTATATTTTACTTTCAGCATGCATCTCCCATCCTGGGTGGATACTCACAACACCCTTTACTTGGTGTTCCCTTCTCTATCTGAGCTGCTTTTTCCCCCAGCATGTGCGGCTGGCCTCCAAGCCATGGAGCGAACCTATTGGTACTTATCTAGATTATTAGAAAGATGTTATTTAAATCTGCTCTAGTGCTAAAGGATTTTAACACATTTTTTTCACAATTTTAGTGATTCCCCCAGAATCCTCAGAGATTATCAGAACAAGCACTTGAAGAGATATAGTGAGACTCGAAGAAGCCAAATCGATTCCCCAGAAGCTACCCTTACACAAAGTCTACTGATAATACCAGTAAGAGAAAGTTTTTGCTAAATTTCTAGAAAAAGTTGAAATATGGAATTTTGAAACAGCATGGCAATTTCTGACACTTTCATTTTTCCCCTAATTTTATTTATTTTGGGGACACACTTTGCAGTGCTCAGGTCTTCCGGCCCTGTGTTCATGGATCAGTCTTCCCAGAGAAGGGACTGTACAGGGTGTCAGGGATTGAACCCAGTTGGCCACATGTGAGGTAAGCGCCTACCAAGTGCATTATCTCTATGGACTCTTACTTTCCCCTAATTTTATACTTTGGCTCTATTGTAACACTTATGCACAAGTGAACCCTTGATACTAAATAGAAAATCTTCCTGAGACCAATTTAATCCAACTGTTTTGATCAATTTAATCCTTTTTTTTACGGAGAAGATGACTCTAAGAACACATGAGCTTCCTCAAATTATTTCCACAGGGCTTGAGGAAACTGTTGCTCAGAGGCAATGTAAATCCACGTTAGGAGGTTTCAGCCTTCCTCAGCCTGAGCTACTTTCTGTGGCCAGCACATGCACAGGTGTAGAACAATATTGGGTTTGTCCTTTCAGCTTTGCCACAGGGAAATTAGTTTACCTTAAAGCAATGTCCTTTCTGTGTGGACACAGGAAGACAGTTGATATTATGCTTTGTAACTTGGGAGTTGCTTGACTCCAATAATACTTACTCCTGGGCATCTGCTCTCTCGACTCAGTTGCCCTTAGTTCCTACCACCCCAAAAGCAGGGTTTCGATGAGGGACTGAATGGACCCAGGGCAAGCTGTGAGCTACCCTGGCATTGAAATGAGCCAGGCCAAAGCGCCACAATAATCAACTATAAGTTAAGAGCATGAACATAGACAAATGCTGTCATGATACAAAAGTAACGATGAGACTAGGACCCTGCTGGGGTTAGGAAGACTAACCTGGCCTGAGGACTGCAGTCTGGACTACATAGTGAGATGTCCTCAGGAAGAACCAAACTTTAAGTTGATATATTGCTTACTGTATTCATACAGAATGACATTGCTTGAAATATTAGAAATAGAATTACTACAACTATTTAAGTGAATTACTTGCTGGGGAAAGAAGAAAGTGACACACCCTGGATGAGATCCCACCCTCAAGAGGATCTCCTAGTAATCCAGAGTAATCTCTTTAGATAAGATTTTATCCCTGAGTTAATCTCCTGGAGGAGTGGTCTTACCCCTCTTTGTTGATTTGTTAATGTTTGAACCACCTTTGTGTCACCACCCTAAGTGACTGCTATGTAAACTAAGACTGTAAGAGTGGAGGGGGGCAGAGTCAGAATCCAGGGTGAAGGGCTCCAGAGAGAGAGAGAGAGAGAGAGAGAGAGAGAGATCAGAAGAGACCAGAGGAGAAACTACAAAGACAGAGTCAGAAATAGAGAGACAGGCAGAAGAGAGCACAGCGGCACACACAGAAGCAGAGCACAAAGGAGGAGCCAACCCGATCCGGTCCATACACCGAACACAGGTGGCGAGAGAGAGCTACTTGGAGAGCCCACTGACAATTCACATCCTTTCCACCCCTCCATGTGTGTGCATAAGATATTTTTTACACACGGGGACCTCAGATTCATTTCTGTTCCATAATTACCTGCTTCAGATAACTAACAATGTTTTTGTTTTAGTTTCCTTGTCTTTTAATTGAAGTTCTTAATTGCTTCCCTTTCTACTTGATCAGTTACTGTAAAGAATAAATATAATAACGGATAGTAATTGCTATGTAAAAATTGAAGTATTTTCCATGGTGTTCTGATCAGATTGATATTGTAAACTTTGAGGTTATAAACATAAGAGTACATCTCTCTGTGAAGAGAACAAGACATTATCATGTGCCATAATGTAAAAGATTCTCTCCTACCCTGTAGCACTGTAGCTCTGACCTCCTGTTGTTCATCAATTTGCTCGAGTGAGCATCAGTAATGTCTCCATTGTGAGACTTGTAACTGTTTTTGGCATATAGAATATGCCATGGGGAGTTTGCCAGGCTCTGCCATGCTGGTGGGATACTCTTGGTAGCTTGCTGGGCTCTCCGAGAGGGATGGAGGTATGAAACTCGGGTCGGCCGCATGCAAGGCAAATGCCCTACCTGCTGTGCTATCTCCTACCCTGTTTAATTGCTCCTCCATTTCTAATCTGAAGACTCTTGTAGTTGATCTGGTCTTCTTGTAATGGATGTGGTCTGAAGCCCTAAGACTTTCTTTATAGGACTGAAAGCTCATTCTCTGAGCATATGGAAGTGTTGCTGATAACAGCTCTCAGCTGAATTTCTTTCCTGGAAGTTTACTTAAAGAGAGCTACTTCATTCACAGTTAAGTTCTCTTTCCAGAAGAAATCTATATCTAATGACTGAGGAGGGGCAAAGAGCAGATGGGGGTATAAACCTGGTCCTCCCTTATTTCCTTGGGGACCTTGAATCTGAAGAACCTACCACCTCCAGAACTCACTATGTGATAGACTAATGACTGCCTGTATGGCAGTTCAATTTCTCCCTGTGCAACTTTCACTTTATTTATATTGCCCAGATGTTGATCATGAAGTACATCTCCTGAATAATTACTCTATGACAGAGTCTACATCCTTAAAACATACAGCTCGAATAGTTGCAAGTGGAGATTCAAACCTATCTATAAAACTTTTATATATTCCAATAGAAAATATTTCACTTTCAGATTGTAGTTCCATCATTTGGGAGAAACAACTTAACCACTCTGTGCTCAACAAACTGAATCATAACATTTATATCATCAGGTTATAAAAGTTACAATGCAAGAAATATGATAATAGTGAAACAAAAGCTAACAATTTCCTCTAGATATGGGCACTGCCCTTTTTTGTGGTAACTTGTGCAAATTAGAAAAAGTACCCATTTCACTTTCAAAGATGAGATCACTTAGCAGCAGTCTGCGTTAATAGCTCAGTGAACAGTTAGAACTGGATCTCAGTTCCTACTTTGTTATTTTTTAGTCAAGAACTTCTTATATAAGCAGTTCAACAAGAGACACATGTGCCTCAGAAAATATTATCCTGGATAAAGGTTGCTTGGAAGCTACCGAGAGTATTCAACATGCCAGACACAGTAACAACAAAGTCTCCAATGGAGACGTTACTGGGCCTGCTCGAGCAAATTTAATATATTTAAAAATATTATATGCTGTTTATTCTTAGATCGGCAGCTCTTTGTAAATGTCTATTCAGGTTCGCATGTTTTTTAAATAATGTAAGGGCACTGCTAGTTATTAGGTTTGTATTTCTTTGACATTCAACTGTCCCTGGGATTTAAATTCTCATACAAGATATTCAAAGTGATGTGTCAAGTTACAGGCAGAAAGCAGGACAAATATTAAATAACACTTAAAGCTTTCAGTACCAGTTGGTAGAGAACATAGAAATAAAAATTAGATTTTTTCCTTTCTGAATTAATCAGTTTCCCATGGTTCTGGTACAACCTGATTACAAAATTACATAAACCTTCTGATTCTGCTGAAAATAATAAACAGGAAGAACTGGACTGTATAAACAACAAACACAATGCACTTGACTTATAATCAGTTTTCAATTCTTCTTTATATTACTGTGAATAGTATCTCTTAGAACTATTTTCATAAACATTGATAACTTGTTAGCTGCTTTAGATATCACATAATATAACTTAAAACTTCTACTGGCAGAAATAAATAAAATAGAAATAAAACAAAAATATGAAAGAACAGGGAAATGAAAGTATGAGTCTTTGGAAAGTAGAACAGACTATCCCATAGTTAGACTCATTAGGAAAGAGTCTAATATGATTAGGAAAAATTAGAAGTTACAACAGATATCACATAAATACAAAGGATGATAATAGGCTACTAAAAATAACATTATGACTGTAAGTTGAAAATCCTTATAGAAGAAATTAACAAATTATTAGAATAATAAACCTTCTAAAACAGAATCAGAAGGAAATAAAATTATAAGCAAGGAAATTAAAATAGTAATCATGACTACACACACACACACACACACACACACACACACACACAAAGAAAATAATCTCAGGGCAGACTGTTTTACTAGTGAATTCCATGAAACGTTTAAAGAGAAACTATTACTTATTATTCTCAGCTGGATAAAAAGGATTATTCAAAATACTTTTTATGAGGTCAAAATTACTCTGCTACTGTCACTGTCACTG